CTAAATCACTATTACGTTTCACGTAACTATTATCTTATTTGCTTACAATCGCGACTATCTTTTGGAGATTTTATTTATGTAACATGTGGCAAACGGTCAGGAGGCTCATCTGATACTTACATTGCCAGACAGCAAGTGCGTTGCCGGCCTTATAAGAATTGATACATAGTGGTGGTGCGCGGCAAAAACAGCCTTAAAAAACGCTCAGTTGTGGAACGACGGATGTTCGGATGATTCGGATGGAATTTCGTATTCTGCCTGGACGTCTAAAAATGAAACTTATATGCAGGTAATCCGAACAACACCTGCATAGTAAATGCGGTAGAAGTTGCCGAGAGACCCCAAATCTCTACGAAACGCCAAGAGATCATGCCGCTCGGAAAGTGACTGGTTCTCGACGATTCCAACCGCTCTACGTTGAATACGGTGAAAGTGAAAAATTCAAGTAAATATGATTTAAAGTAAATTATCCAAACGCGTGACTAATTAATCTGCAGTGGCATAAATGTATAAATTTTAAAAAGTTTTGTATCGGGGCTAAGCAGCTTTGAGTGGGACTTATTAAATTTTAGATAAACTAAGGAGGTCAATGCGTAAAACAATTTAAATCGTAAAAGGTGACAATTAGTACGTGGTCGGGTCAGGCACTTATTGTGGCCTACGCTCGTAATTTACATTGAACCGTTCTCGGCAATTTAAAAGCTCGAGTAGGAGTATTTTAAAATAAGCTTCTTAAATACAGCATGGAATCATTTACCATCGAATCTAAAATAATGTTTATTTAGGCCATCGAGTATTTAAGAGTGTATATCGCTATTGAATCCAATTTTAATAAAAAATATTCACTTACCAACACAGGCAAATTGCGAGGACGCTACAGAAGGTTTTAAAGTTAGGGTAATTTCTTATCATTTGTATGTCCAAATGTCAGATAGTGTTATTATTTAGTATTGTCTTTGATTAACATAACCTTTACACATTTAAAGAAAAAACTTTTTAACCGGATTAAAGTTATGTATTATTATAAATTTACAATTATTGAACATAATTTTAAATTTATCCGACGTTTCGCGTGCTTTACAGCGTGCGTGGTCAAGGTGACCATAATAATACATAACTTTAATCCGGTTAAAAAGTTTTTTCTTTAAGTGTTATTATTTATCAATGCGTAGCTGTAGTAAATCGCTAAATGACTGAACGTGGTACATCCTTTATAAATACAGAGACTACTGAGCCTAATAAATTATTTAGGCTGTTTTACATAGAATGTTCATGGCGACAATAAGGTCGTTTTTCACCAATATCTGACTGGTTAATGATGAAGTGAACCCACGTTTTTCGTAATGATTTTTACACCGCTCCAAAGAGTTGAATATTTAAACAAATGTATTTATTTTTAAAATTAGGTTTTTAAACTTTGGTAATAAATCAAATCTATCTTTGATTTAAATTAAAAAAAATACTAAATCAAATTTACCTTTTTTACGATTCTATTTTTAGAGGAACCTAGGACTTACCGAATTACTTTTAAGCTTTTTTAGAACAATGTCTACATAATTTTATTCTTTACTTTAAATTTAAAATAAAATGACTCATTTTTGTTATTATAATTAATTGCCAGAACTTTATTTGTTTATAGGCTCAACAGTATTCCTACTACCAACTACTACAATATCCAAACAATTACATTCAAACATAAACAAAGCACAGTTTTACCTTTTTTATACAAAAAATATATGTATTTATAATAAATTCTAAACTCTAAAGTTCTAAGATTCATAGAACATTATAATATATATTAAATATAAAGGAAGAATAACCAAGCCATTATTAATAAAATATACCAGAGTTTTTTCAATTATTTTTTAAACATTTTATAGTTACATTAAATATATCTATTTGCTGGTAATTTGTGTTATAATCTGGAAGGTATACGATACCTGACTGAGTTACGTAAATAGTTTTTTACATTAACGTTCATAAGTGTGCATAACACCAATAGGAAAAAAATATATTTCGATTCAAAATAGAACGATTGGTTGATTATATTCTATGGAAGGATAATGATAATTTCAGCTTTCGGTCTTATGTATTCGTACACAGAGGAATTGTGAAAGCTACATGTGCTTACGTTGAAGGTCTTCCTAGGATGTTTTTCTTTCTGCATGGAGTCCAATCCTTTCTGTTTCAGTTTAACATGTCTGTATGTAGTTTTGTTCTTCCTTTGAAATTGATGTTTTAACGTAAATTATTAAATCTCTTCTCTGCTTCTTCAGATAAAAAAATTGTCCTCAATGGAGTATATTACACATTTGGCCAATTGTACTACATTTTTAAACGTAAATCTTATAAAACTTCTATTGTAATAAAACGGTAAACAAATGTGTCGTAAATTAACAGTAAAATAATAATGTAATATATATAAACAAAAAACACTACTAAAATAAACAAACATGAAATTGTTCCACTCTCTCCTATTCGTGAAATAGTAATACAAATGCATTTGATAATATTATCATTTACATGGTATAATTTAAATTGTCTTGTAATTTTCATACATAACATCGTCAAAAGTTTAGCACAAATGTAACCTAACAATTTTACTGTATCGTACTGTCGTGACTCCTTATAAACTCTTTGACCAAATATAATATTGTCATTTATGCGCACAATAGTGTTCGCAGAGTTCAACATTGCAACGTGAGCAGGAAAACACACTATCTTAATTCTTACCGTAATGATATTCGTGCAAAAACTTAAATTGCTTCCCGTGTATACAAAAATGGGGAAGATGAGTATACAATTTTAGTTATACGAGTAACGAAGTTGTGTCAAAGAATTATTTCTTTAACTGACCAATTCACAATGTTAGAGCCACACACACTTCGTCAGGTGAATTTAAACTTAATTTGTGTTTATGTGTCTACATTAAAAACCTTATAAGTGTACCGTAGATGCATAGTCCAATTTTTTTTATTTATGGAACCTATTTTAATTTCATCAACATTATGCAATTAGACATTAGAAATATCTGGAGTCTAGAATCATTGCTGATCGTAGCTAGTCTAAACAACCCTGCTAAATCGTAAACTAATGGTTAACTTTATTTTGAAAACAACTTACTACTTCGACACTTTTAATATGTTCATCATAAGTGATGTGTGTAATTAAACACAGTATACCTAGAAAATCTTAAATTTGGTTTAGTTTCAAAAGCGTTGAAGCGCTCAGCCTAGCATTCAAATACATTGATTCCTCGTTGACAAGAATTTAAAAAATAAACGATCAAAAAGCTTTCTATAATACGTAATGTCTGGAAAAGGTCACATAATATTGATCTTCACAAATACGACGCGACACAGGTGCGGTGGCGCCATGTCTCGACGCCATTAAATTGCTATTTTGATTTCAAGGTGTCCAACATAGTCATTTGAATTTTATACTGTACTTCATACTGTTATATGCAAAACCATATACGATTCATATTAAAGACATACCAGATTTCACATTTACCAAGTCGAGTTCTTAACATCTCTATTCGATTGGTAAGGATTACGCTATGTAAAGAAGTTAGCGAAAGGAATAACAACATAATTTAGAAATTATTTGCTAAGATTACTTTTAGCAAATCCTCTTATATCCATACTTGTACTTGTTTTTAAGGCAAAACAGTACATTTTATACCTTTAGGTAATCTAGTCCCATTACACGCACCGATATGCGTACACAAATACAACGATAACATGTTTGGAATATCATACTTCCATAGAGTTCGTATTTAAAACTAACTATAGATAGCTGTTGTCGATATTATAACAATAAATCATTGTGTTGACCGTAGCGAAATTAAATGAATTCCATAATGTGAATAATAAATTTTTTTGTGAAAACCGTTTATTTGTTTTTGCAGTTCTTTATGGTAGGTACATCATAATAGCTACGCCTCGCGGTTCCCGCTTCTTTTGATGTCCATTTAGCACATTATGGAACTTGATCATTATTTTTTTGCAATAAATCTGAAATATTAATTGCAATGAAAAGACATAAGCGAAAAATTTGGTTCTAAAATACACATAACGTGTTCATTTAAATATAATTAATCCTGTCTATGAACACCACCTCAAACGCACCAACGGAGAGGAAATGACTTGTGATTGACTAAAGGATGGTTTCTTGACTCAATATAGATTGCGGATGTTGGTGACGGGACCACTATAAGTACAATATTTTAGAACAAAAGTGATTACCATGAAAAGGCTATATTGAGTCAACATAAAAGATAAGTTTAAAAGATCGCTTGCGTCATACATGATTTTTGCGTAATTACAAAGCACTAGCAGCGCTGTGCAAACGATTGGAAGCTCTCAATAGGAATAATTAAAATAATAGTAATATAACATTTCATTGACGCTCACCTCCTCAATAAGAGAATAAATCAATATTTTTTGGCTTTACTCGATAAACATCCTATCCAAAGGAAATGTAGTTTCAATACATAAAATAAATAGCATTCAACCACAGTTAATAATAATATAGATTACCACAGATAGTTCGTTACTTTAGTAAGTACGCTTGTGATTGGTCAACAGTATTTCGTCTAATCACACACACGCGTCACGATCTATCGTTTAATACATCATAATCAGACCATTAAAAAACTATTTAATGATCTGATTATGATGTATTTGCACTACAACCTTTTAGGTCTGGGCCTTAGATTTCTGTATGTTTCGTTATCATTTGTTTTTCTAATAATCAAGTACATGATCAGTCTTCTGTGTCTGACACACGCCGTAAACTTTTTGGGTCTAAGGAATGCCGGTTTCCTCACGATATTTTTCCTCATCATACGTATCAGTCGGTCATTGGAGCAGTCGGGGATTGACTGAAACCACTAGGCCGACAGTCTTAATCATATCATTGGATTGAATAAAAACCAAAATTACTAATAATCCATATTTAATAATAATCATTATTTACAAAACATGTTTAAACTTATATTACAATGTTAAAGCTCCAAAAATAGGCAATATATTCGTTTTCCTTAATTTATATTTAAATCTATTTAACAATCCACTAGCAACAATTACACCTTTCATGTGAGATCTACTACTGTAAAGTTTAGTTTCCTTCTTTATATCTTTTGACCGACAATTTTTAATTTTTATATGGATTTTTCGTTTCAAATGTGTTATTTCGAAGATCTCGCACGGTTTGACATGTTTTCTTTTTGCGTGTTGAGGTAATAATTTCACTTTCGGTCGACGTAAGGTGGTCCTCAGAGGCGGATAAAAATCATCGTCACACGTTTTCTCAGATTTTTCAGTTTCATCTTTGGGTTTTTCTGTAAAAAATATTAGATTTATATTTAGTACTGTAAAAAACACCAGTAGAGTCTGTGCGGAATGGGAACCAGTATAATTCTTATTTTCTACGGGTAATTTCATTTATTAATTTAAAATGTAAATCCTATTAAAAATCATGGTGATTAATTTGGACCTTGACGATAAGGATGTTAAGGATTATTTAAATGTATAGTACTTTAACGAAACTCAATATTAAAAGACTTTCGATTCTGTATTCCCATTCAATTAGATCCCAAAATTAATCAGGCACCTACTTGCCTACATAGAAAAAATATCGAGAGATAAATATCCAAAAAGACCAGTATTTGTATCGCCACTCGATTTTTTTTATTTCTACGAGCCAAGGCTGTACATTTTGCTCTATCAGGCTTTCTTTGTATTATAAGCGTGGCGATTACCAAAATCGTCGGAGTTACGACCCCAGAGTATTGCCAGACGCAAGCACTCTAATCAACATATGCATTACATTCATAGCAATTAGCATTTAATTATTTAAGACATTGCTGTACGCGAGTGGTTAATACAAAGTAAAAATAAATTCTCTATTATTTAAAGCACACTGAAATTAGCATAAAACTACTAAATTCAAATTAAATTTTTTCTTAATTTAAAAACGAAAATATATTAATAATTTTACCTGTATAAGGAAATATCGTTCGCCTGGGCATTATAGAATCGCCTAGAATTTCGTACATAGTATAGTCTGTCATCACAAAGTCTTCGAGATAAGTAGTTGGTTCAGATCGGAGTAAACATGTGCAAACATCCTGTAAAAAACAATTTATTAAATTTTATATCACTTGCACTACGAACTTTATATATGACAAAAACACATAAATAATAACCCACAAGCATAGTTTCCCGTAGATCACCGTGTCTATGGTTCCTTCTTGGCACGTGCGCAGCATTGTCTATGTGATCTAAATGGTCACCCAAACAACGTATTAGCGCGTCACGACCGAGCGCCATTATACATCTTATCATTGGCGCTGTTAAACGCTCCTTTGTGCCTTGAGATAAATAGTCGAATAGGATTCCTTTGCCTTAAATTAAAATAAATTCTCTATAAAATTATATAGTAAAACGGGCAGAATTTTAAATTTTTTAGGTCACTTGTCTAGACAATATCAAAGTTCTATATAAACTTTCATTCCCTACTTTAACCCCTTTTCACGTTAAGAGATATAGGTTCCTAAGGTCTATCTCTATAATTACTTTAAAATTGGTTCAGTGGTTTAGCCTTGAAAACGTGACAGACAGAATTACTTTTGCATTTATAATAATAATAACAGAAGTAGGGTTGACGTCAGTCTATAAGAGTATGTTTTTTTAGAAAACTTGTCGAGTTATCTACATACATGTAAAGTACAAGACGAATACATTAGAATAATTTTTTTATAAATGTCTAATTATTTGTCAGTCCGACAGTCCATACTAGTTATGAAAATGTTTCCTTAGTATAAACGTGAAATTATTATACTATATACACATTATTTGGTCAGCTAAGAGTGCTAATGTGAAATACAGTGGAATCTCGATGACTCGAATGTCAAGAGAAATTAAAAAAAAACGACTTAACGAGTCTTCGACTTAAGAAGAACTTCGAGATACATATGATTCAACTGTTAAAATTTCGACTTACAGAGGCACGATTTCTGTGTATTTTTCGATTTGAATAACAATTTAACTTATGGTTTGTAGTATACATATTAAAACGACTTACTTTTAAATAAAATGTACTCTAAAAAAATGTATGAATGTATTCATTCATTTCACGTGTGTAAATCAAAAACAATAGATTAGAAGCCCCGAACCCGAACATTCACTTTCGATTTTATTGCAATTATTTCGAGGAATTCCAAGTAAGACATCATTATATTTTACTAACTACGACTTACGGAGTCCCGTTTTGAAATTCGAGTTATAGAATATAAATATGTATTATCAATACTTCTTGGGAAATAACATTTTGTTCGAGTTACTAAGTCTAAATAATTCGAGATACCGCGTATTTAAGGGTTCAGCGGAAGGGAATTGACAATTTTTTTTCGACTTATAATAAATGGATTTAAAAATACCTATTGTGATAAATGAAGGCCAGGTCCTTGTGATTTTAGTTAATATAGCAACCATCTTCTCAGCCAACGATCCATTTCCTAATATATTTGAGACCATCACTGGAAATAATCTCTGAAACTGAAAATATTATTTGACATTAATAACTAATTTAAAAATGTATTTTTTTACATTTTAAGTTATTTTTTATCATTAAAGTAAAATTAAGAAAACGTTATCCCCCTAGGAGATAATCTACTACTGTTGTGTGTGTATGAAACTGCATAATTATAACGCTTATCAGAGATATACAGTCATATTAAAACGAATCTAAAAAAATATGAAAAAATAAAGCAATTTGATGCAAATTATTTGAGCTTTTTTATAATTTTTGTATATTTTCTAAGTTTATTTAATCTCAGTATTATTAATCTACATACTAATAATACTGAGGAGTGTTCGCTTAGGGATTTGAACTTGCGCCTCGCATTTTAGACTATCGGTGAATGACACCGGCATGCTTTTAGCCAAAAATCGACGGTATGTGAAGGCACAGAAAGCTGATCACCTACTTTATATTAATAGAAACAGAAATCTGAGGCGAGGTTGTAGCGCGACTGTTTGTTTTTTATCGAGATTTTTCCTAACAAGCTACGATTTTGTTTATTACAAAATTAAATAATAATCTAAAGTAAAAATTAATTACCATAAGTTATGATGTATTTTTTACCTGTTGTTGAATATTAGTATCCAAACTGCACGGATTTGAGCACAGAGCATCAACCATATCTAAGACATTTGATTGTAAGGGTTTCTTGGCCGGAACATTCAGTGCATTTAAATTATCATCATTCAATACTAAAACTGCTAAATTAAATAGATTTGGAAATATCGGTCCTATTCGTGTATTCGTTGTGAGATCCTCAACAGCTAATTGTTTTGGCTTCTTTTTGAGGTTTAATATTGCTGAAAAAAAGTTTAATAATTTTAGTTAAAAACACTATTTATGATTGTACCACTTGTGTATAACGCTAAATGGCGTACAGCTTCCTGGATATGGTTTTGGGTTGAATTGTTTTATGTATGTTTAATTTAGTGACAACTTTTAAAACAATGCATACAAAATATATATTTTCAACATTTAGTATATGAATTCTGGTAGGGTGTTTTTTCCCAATTATTAAAAGAAAAAGACAGTTAATTATTGAAAAATAAAGTTATCCCAAAAGATTTCAACTCTTATATATTATGCCAAACAAGTTTTTAAAGACTTGAAAATGAAATTCATGTCTTACAATAATCATTATTGGTTTATTTTTCAAAACTAGTTATTATTTCGCCTGGTTTATATCACAAATACTTTATTTCAAACTAGTTGTTTCTGATAGAAGTACAACCAATAATTATTTCTCTAGATAATAAAAAATTTAAAAATTACTATTTGATGCATCCTACAATAACATAGAAAATGTGTGAAAAAGTTGTAAAACACAAAAACAGACAGAAGTGTACCCCTCCACAAGCTAGACCAACATTTAAAATAAATTTGCCATGGCAATATTGTGCCTACACATTTTTCAGTTTCAACCTCGTAAACATTTTTTTAACATGCATAATGCTCACATAAATAAACAATTTCCATTGTTATAACTTTTTAAATAGTTACCTCTTGCGACCTTTGTATAATAGTTTTGGAGACTAGTACTAATTTGACTGTTGGTGTTTAAATTTTTGTCATCTGTTACCCATTCTACTGACATTGAAGGCACCGTTGCGAACGCATAACTTTGAGTTGTCAATGCTTGCTCTGTGACATTTACTATACTTTCCTGGAAATTTACAATAATTAGGAAACGTGAATTTGAAGTATAACTGCTATACACAAACTCACCCACACTTGCACTCATAATGTGATATAATATTTAAAGCAGATAAATGTATGATTTGTTTAGTTTAATTTAACAATTGTAAAATTTTCAAATACAATTACAATCTACAATCTCTTTAGAAATTTTTCAGCCTACATTTTAATTTTTTTAATCACATAAAATGTTCTGTTCATGGAAACTTAAGTAACTTAAATATACTTACAACATAACTGGATCTTTACACTAATATTTATCTCATTTGGTTAAGCAATTTCAAAATCCTGAAACATTTTTATGCTTTTTCTATATGTTTAACGGGTTGCTATTGTTAATACTATATTATATTAATACTTACAGCTTCACAACACAATTTGTCATCACCAAAAGTAACATATTGGGTAGCACTTGTTCCAACAATAGGACTTGTATCAGATAACATTAATAATGTGTTTACATCCCAACTGTCTACAGAAGTTTTCTTCATCATTTCACTGTGTAATGCTAAAGCCTGTGAAGATCAAAATGAAACAATATAATACTGAAACTGAAACTAACAAATAGCTCTAGAATATTTTCCCATTACCATACCATACATTTTTAATGTAAAAAACTGATGGTGTAAGATGATAACTGGACAGGTGTGCCATACATTGCAAAAAAAATTTAAAACATCAAAATTACTGAACTTTGATAGGACTAGCTTGTTTTCCATTCAATATTACACAGCTCTCTATAATACCAGAAAATGTGCAGTCCTTCTAGTCTTTAGCTTCACTAATATAAAGCTCACACTGTATCTAAGTTTATACAAACATTGAATTTGTTTGTTATTTTAACATATGCATCAACATTAATTGTACTTTTTACAAGTTCTACAATTATTATAAAAACAACTTTTAAATTATGTTTAGGATGAAAGTTAGATGTTGAATTTATGATGCTTTACATACACTTATGGCTTGCCGTAGCTTATAGCTAACATCTTCAGCTAGATTTGTTGCAGCCTCAGTATGAAGCTCCACAGCTATTTGGTCAGCCATACAATGTACTGAATCAGGCCCAATACCAGCAAATTTACCCTGTGATGTAGATCCATCCTGTAATTATTATTAATAAATTAGAACTTTACAGGCTATTTAATTAATTGTGAATTGTGTACAGTTAACAGGAACTCTTGATTATATCGGGTGAACATTAATATTAATTTTATTTCAGAATCCTGAATCTTACTAAATATAACTGTATTCTAAGGGAAAACAGTTATATTTAACTGCTAAAAACAGCTCGTAGACGTATTATTTTTATTATAACACAGCCCAGTTCTTTTAATTATAGTAATTTTATTCTATCCTATGAATTACTAGTTTGAAAGATATAAATATAAATAATATTGGTTAAATATTCAATAATAATAAAATCAATTATTAATACATTAAATCAGTGTGAAACCACTACATGATTTTTCCGGCCAGAACACTTTTTTTTAAACAGGTGACAATAAATAAATTTCAGATTAAATACCACCTGTACAAAGTTAAAATAAAAAGAAATTTAAAATTTATAAAAATATTTATATTAATTACAAATACCTTTTCTATTAACGGTGGAGTATCACATTGACTTGATCCACCAGATTCGGAGGCTGTTGATTTGTTTTTATCACGCTCCCGAATGCTGTTTACTTTTTTAGAATGATTCTTTGAAATTGAAGATAGGGTTGACATTTTGTGAGCACTAACAAGAAATAACTCCTTAATAAGAAAACGTTAGATGTTTGTTACAAGTTGATGCCCTTTTAATAAAAAATTTAAAGCTTTTACATAAAATGTTTTACATATTACGTTTAATCGTGTAGAAGCGAGATGCTGGTAACTTTTTTTTTTTTTTTTTTCCTTTCTTGGCCTGCACGGTTTGTGCGTCAGCCATGTAAAAAAGTTAGGAAGTGCGTTATTAGATTTATTTTATTGGATTAGAAATTGGAGCGGAATTTGGAAAAGGATCAGATAAATTTATTATATAAGTACATAAATGGTTATAATTTTATATTGTTATGAAAAATAAAACTGGCTAAAATTCTATATACATCCATATTTATATTAGATAATAGGACAGAAATTGAAGTAGGAAAAGGAATTTTAATGGATAAAAGTGAGGAAATAAAAGCGGAACGGTCATGTCGAGTGCAGGCGAAGAATATATGATTAAAATCCCCAACGTCATTGCCACACTCACAAATATCGTTAGGCAAAATGTTAAGCCTTGCCAAATGCAAAGGAATGCATGCATGGCCTACCCTCATACGTATAAGGGTCGAAGTGATAGCTTTACCAAGCGTCAGATTTGAAAACCATGGTTTAGAAGGTATATCCTCCTGAATCGTGCTGTAATATCGACCTTTAGTCTGACTTGAAGAACGCCAAATGTTTGTCCAAGAATTCAATAACTGGGATTTAGGCAGGAGAGCCAAATCACAACAAAAATTTTTGTACGGAACCAGATCTCCGTCATTGACCGCAGCTTTGGCAAGGCTATCGGCCTTGGTATTGCCAAAGATACCTGAGTGCCCCGGAATCCAAGCAAAAGAAACTGTGTAATTTTTGATGCAACATTGATGCAATAGATCACGACATGCAATAATGACTGGATGATTATTTCTGTTATTGCTAAAAGGAAATCTCTCCAAGGCTTGGAGGGCACTTTTAGCGTCGGTTAAAATTATTGAGTTTTTTAACTTCATTATTAAAATGTACTCCAGAGATTTCAGCAGACCAAAACATTCTCCAGTAAATACTGAAGTCTCTGGAGGGAATTTTATTTTCTGTACAATGCCAAACTGTTGATGGAAAACGCCAATTCCCACACATTTATCGGAGCCGGGTTTGGAAGAATCACTAAAAATTAAATGGCAATTTTTCCATCGGTTGTCACTGTCAATAATATTAATAAATTTGGCATTGGCAGAAGGATCTTGTTTACATATACCGAAATCAAATAAAATAGAAGGATTTAATGTTAAGGCATCATAGTTAACACAAAATAAAGGAAGGAATTATTGTGATCTATGTGTTGGAGCTTGAAGAGCTAGGTATTTTTGGAGACTAATAATAAGGCATGGCGGCGATTTATGAGCCCAGTACGGATAATCCATACATTCCAACAGAGACCGTAACTTAGAGTAAAGAGGATGATTATAGACTTGGAATGCTCTAAACAGGAACCTGTCACAAAGAAATTGTCGTCTGAGGTGCAGGGAGCTTCAGAACATTCGACCTGCAAAGCGTTAATAGGGCTTGAACGCATAGCCCCAGCAATTATTCTCAGAGCCTTAGACTGGATAATGTTTAACTTATGGAGAGCTACTGTATTACAGGGTTCAAGTATAAATGTTCCATAGTCTAAAAATACTTCTTATTAGGGCATTATATAGAAGCTTTAGAGAGAAAGGGTGGGCTCCCCACCAAACTCCAGAGAGGCAACGCAATATATTTAGAATCTTCTCACATTTGGCACTTATATATTTGCAATGAGAGCTTCCTGTAAGTCTTGAGTCTAAAATTACTCCAAGAAATGTTGCTTCACTTTTAACGGAAACTCTAATATTATTATAAAATACAGACACTGATGGAGGAAGTCTCATACGTGAAAATAAGACTATCATACTTTTAGCAACTGAAAGGCTTAGAGAGTTATTGTCAAGCCAGACTTTTAGCAACTTAAGGGAATATGTCATAGTATCAGACATGTTGTCAACAGAATTACCTGAGATATATAAGAGTAAATCATCTGCATATTGGAGTGTATTAACTTTACCCTTAAGGGAGGCTTCCAGATCATGAGAATATATATTGTAAAGTAAGGGACTCAAAACCGAGCCCTGGGGTAAACCTTTCCAGGCAATACGGGATTGGTAGGAGCCTTCTGATATTACTTTAAGCATTCTACCAGAGAGAAGATTGATAGTGAAGCTTATAAAAAGTTGTGGGATATCCAAATTAATCATTTTTGTTTCAGAGTTGAAAGGTTGACATTATCATAGGCTGCAGACACATCTAAGAATGCCGCTAACACAGGCTTATTGTATGAAAATGCTAATCTTAAGTCTGTCATAAAAATACTGAGACTGTCCATAGTACACCTGCCTTTCCTAAATCCAAACTGGTTTGGAGATAGTAATCCTTTACTCTCAACAAACCATTCTAGTCTATTCTTAACTAAATGTTCAGAAATTTTGGAGATAACTGAAGCTAATGCTATTGGTCTGTATGATGATGGGTCATTAATCGGTTTGTTGGGCTTATGTATTGGTATAACTCGTGAATTTTCCATGACGGAGGTATATTACCAGATGTTAAGATTGAATTAATTAAACTGAGAAAATAAGAAAGGCAGGAGTCATTTAGGTTTTGAAGAAAAGAATATGGAATTCCATCACAACCTGGGGCTGAGTCCCTAAGTTTTGAAAGAACCCTTTGAGTTCTGAAAGGCTAAAGGAAATGAGTGAATTGCTATTATGCTGGGAGAGGGAGAAGGCTGAGAGTCAAAAGAAATATTATCTATAGATGGGACATATGGTGGAGCTAATTTGTCAAGAAACAAATCAACTGTACTGCTATCCATAAAATGAGACTTTGGAGGTTTAAAGGCGGATCTGAATCTCCGAATATTTTGCCAAACTTCAGATGGAGAAATGTCTGGTGAAATTGAGGCACAAAAAGATTTCCAGCCATTGAATCTTTTTTGTTTTAATAATTTACGTGTTTTAGTTATAAGATTGCTAAGAATATTAAAATTTTGTGTTGTAGAATTTTTCCTGTAATTTCCTTCAGCTCTCTTTCTCTCAGCTATAGCAGCAGAACACTCACTGTCCCACCAAGGAGGTGATGGAATATAACCATTGCCACTATTACTTTTAATTGGAAAAACTTCCTCAGCAGCCTGCAGTAGGGCCCGGTAAAAGCTTCAGCACAAAGATGATTATTGCTGTCATTTACTAGAGGTATGGATGATAAATTTTGTTGAGCTTTATCTCTAAATAATGACCAGTTGGCATCCTTAAGTCTATATTTTAGCCGTGGAGGAGCCTTTGATGTTTGTTCTCCAATTTTTGGGGAAATGAAATAATTAGTGGGAAGTGATCGCTTCCATATGAAGAAGATAGAGGCCACCAGTTTAATGTAGGAGCAAGGGAAGGACTACATAGGGTAAGGTCTGGTGCACTCATACCCTCATGGGGCTGTGTCCTTCTAGTAGGACAACCGGAGTTTAGAAGGCATAAATTATTATTATCTAAGATGTCTAAGATTCTAGCCCCATAATGATCGGACTTAGAACTTCCCACATAGTATGTTGTGCATTGAAATCTCCCATGACCAAAATAGGGCGCGGGAGGAAAGATAGAATGTTACAAATATTGTCAAAGACTACAGTGGAAGGGTGAGGTATATACATATTTACAATACAAATATTATTTACACTAGCAGCAATAATGGAAAATTTATCACTGTGATTAATGATGGGTATGTGAACAAAGGGCACACCTCCTCTAAGAATTAGTGCAACTCCACCATACTCCATCTGTTCTGTCTTCTCTAAGACAGATATGTCCTGGAATTCTAAAATTGAATCCGGGACGAAGCCAAGTCTCTTGAGAGAGACGGCAAAAGGTTTGTAATTGTTTAATAAATAAATGAGGTCACTTTTTTTACTATTAATGCTCCGGCAATTCCACTGAATCACCAGAGACTGGTTTTGTGGATGGTCTGTGTGACTGTCCATGATTTAAATAAGTTTTTGAAGAAGGGGCATCGTTGGTCGGTATTTTAATTATGTCAGATTGTGACAGGTACTGAATTATAGAAATGATGAGATCCTTGGTTATTACTTCTGACAAATCATTGTAGTTTTTAAGACAACCTGTAGAAAAGGAAGGAATATTGCTATAATCTTGAATAAGCTCTGCATGTGCTTTTTGATCATATCCCTTACTAACATTTCTGGGACGAGTTTTGGGTTTCATGAAAATTGTTTTCCTAAATGACTGAGTGGGAGTGTTAGAAGGACTTGTTACATTATAGGGGCTGGAATACTTAATATTCGGACCAGAAGGGGCCGATGAAGCAGAAGCAACAACGTCTGCATAAGATTTAGAAACTGGTGGATTGGCTTTACTGGCTTCTGAATAAGATATAGCCTTTCTAGCCATTGTTTCTTTAATTGATTTTTGCCTAGCGTACTCTGGGCACTTTTTATCTGTTGCAAAATGGGAACCAGAACATAAGATGCACACAGCATCATCTCTTTCAGTCTTGCAGCTTGTACTTGTATGGTTGTCACCACATTTGTAACACCTTGAGTGCCTCTGCATTGCATTTTGGTGTGACCAAAACGGCAGCAATTAAAACATTGCAATGTGGGGTAAATATAAAGTTCTACGGGTAAGGAGTTATAACACATAAAGACCCTGGGAGGTAATACTTTCCCATCAAAGGTTAAAACTACGGTCTCTGTCGGAATAAACTTGGGAGTCTCACCTTCATACACCTTTCTGTTTAGTCTTCGAACCTTTAAAATGCTTCCACAGTTCTGCGGAAGCTCAATATTTTCTAAAATGTCTTTCTCGTCCCATTCACATGGAACACCTCTCACTATTCCCATGCGGGTGATAGTGAAGGCAGGAATAAATGATTTGTAATTATTAACATGAAGAGATTTGTTGTTTAAAAATGTGTTAGCATCTTGAAAAGTTTCGAATTGTAAGGACAACATGTTCCTGCCAATTTTTTTTATGCTGCCCTCTACAATGCTTTTTACACAATTTTTTTTTAGGAAAAATCCAAAATGTACAGGGTGAATTGATCCGGTTTGATTTGTTTGTAATATTTTTTGGACATGGACAACATAAGGCGCTGGGTCTGACGCCTGGTAAAGCGACCTAGCAGCGCGAGGGTTACTTGGGATATTATTGGAGTGAGCAGCTTCATTATGGTGGATTTCAGTTTTATCATTAGACTCAAGCACTTTAGGAATAACATTGTCTTTTAAATTATTAGAGGAAATTGTCTTCTTTAGATTTCTAACTGAGATTCTCTTTCTTTTAACATTTTTCTTGCTTTCCGAACAATCTGTATCTATAATGGAACCTTCCGTTTCCATTCCCGACTGATCTATTGTAACTACATGAGACACCTGGAGGGATGTCCTCCAGGGTCTTCAGGCTCCAACATGGACACCAAGTGAAAATTCCTATCTACATATAATACAATTAAATTACTTACCAACCAGGCGAAAGAAACTAAAAATATAAATAATCAACAATAACTAGTAATATATATACACTCTACAACTTAACTGATCCTGTAATATTAAATTAATTTAATTTTCAAAAGTTTAGCCAAAAAAGGCGCCCGCCTAATTCAACACTTCCCGCGCTTTTTTTTTCTGCTGGTAACTTGTAACTTGTAAGTCATTTGTTGACGGCTGACGCCTAGTAAAAGTATACCTGGATGTAATGTCATACCTACATTTGACATTTTACATATGTCGCCGTCATTCATGAACATAGATAATCTACTGTTAAGTATTTGTATGCCACTGTAATTGTCACTACATAGGATTCCTACAAAAAATTAATTCGTTTACGTTATAACTCGCAGTATAATGACTAAAAACATACATACATCGAATACTGGCTAAATTAGTATATTTATTTGATCTGTAAATATTAAAGTGGTTCGCCTCAAAGTGCCAAGAAACCAACCTCGGTTTTTCTCTTTACAATCATTCAAAGTCGTTTGATAATTAGTATATTATAAACTTAACCAATCATAATTATATATTGAAACTATTCGATATAATTCCAATATACCTATAATTATGATTATTAGAAGGGATAATAATGAATGAAAAACATTTCGCATAGGTTCCGCATTAATACCTAATGCCGCCAACAGCTATTATTATTAATTATTACATAAAGAATGTCGGGATGTTATGTCGCTTTTAATCGACAATCGCTTTTAAACGATTACATTAACTCCGACTTTCATTTACTACTTTTAAACGTTAAAGTTGCATTAACACGTTCACTGCGCCATCATTTTTAAAGAACTTTCAACTGGTGCTTGAGACCAAAAAGATCTCGTAACAAGTTACAAGCCTACCTTTGGTGCGTTTAGACCTAATCAGTCTCTAAAAATACCTTTGAAAATAATTTATATCTTCAAAAAACATGACATATATTTTGAAGTTTTGTGGGTGAAAGATACTAATTGCTTTATATTTTGCTAGGTTCGCCGCAGTTACGACATTTGAATAAACTACAAATACAAAAAAATTAGATATCGATTGTATCCTACCGAACCGAAGATAGTTCAATATGTAGTAAGTAGTGATGGGAATAAAATAATATCCAGTTATCGTTCTAAAAGTTTTATTAATTATGCAAAGGGTTTTTCATTAAAACATAGTAAGTACATTGATTGCTTGACATACGCGCAAATGGTAACAATTCGTTTAGTTTTTTAGAAGCGTCAGTGCGTTTAACTGCGTGTGCTCCAACGAAAAAGGATTATCATTAAATATTTATAATCAGAATCACTGTCATTATTAGTCAAGGGGCAAATTTGAACATTTTCAAAACAAATATTTTACGGACGATGCAGCAGTATAATCCGGCGTTGATTTTTGTTAAAACACCAATAAAATAGATTTTTATACTTTTTTCTTTTAAACTTAATACCATTGTTTATCAAAAATAATAACACGCTGGTATATACGAGAGTGTTATTTCCAAAACGGCCCGACCCCGAATGTCGATTCTAGGACAACACTAAAAATCCACTCCATTCCCATCTACGAGCGTACGATTTCACAGTACAATACTCTAACGCAAGGAATTAAAACAATTACAGTACTTCGTTAGGGACCTAATTCTCTAATTTATTTTTAAAGTCCTTTTATTCAGCTTTAAGTAGGAAGCAAATATGTATATTTTTCCTGCTCATCCTTAAAAACTTTACAAGTTACATCCTCCCGCAAGGAGTGAAAAACACATTGTGTTCAACGCACAATAAAATCCTGCAAGAGATCTGATAGATCTCGTAATGCAACGAACGTGTTAAGCTCAAGCAAACCCATTCAGTCAATATTTTTAATAAACGTATTATGCGCAGGTACGTTACATACGCAATAACTGGGAAAAGATTAGTGACATAAGGAGGAAATCAAATACTTAGGTGTGATTCTAGACCTCTACATACAGCAGGAGGCAGCACTAGCTACCATCTGACTTATGCACCTAGGTCTATGGGGTAATAACCACTATAGTACACACACAGCTATAGAGCATCAGTATCTCTATCTATCTTAACAGGGAGATAGAGTATCAACCGTTCACAAAGAAATATCACGTGCAAATGAGAGAAGAGGAACATGATCAATCGACCCTGAAAGAGCTACGTATATATACTGATCTGGCTAAAAAAAAGGTTGTGGCTCCGGTGCTGGCATATTCTTTGTTAATCACTCAACATCATCGTCTACCTTTAAACACCAAAGCAGCCAGAGCCGTACAGTGGTCAGAAATTAATAACTTCTGTATTAAATGCTTATCTGACAATGCGTCTTTGCTGATGGCGTAAGAAAATAGTGTCACCAAGCACTAGAGGAAATAGACCCTGAACAGGGTTAGGGTGCCTAATTCAGACAAACAGGGTTACCTTACTGTGGAAAAAAGGTCACTCGGCAATGATGCTGCCGACGAGATAGCAAGGAGACGTTTCAGAATGATTCCGTCCTCGTCGTACGGTATTTTAGAATCTTCAGTCAGGCTTCGCGACGGTTCTCTTTTTCTCTCGCGTATCCTTCCGTCCTTATCTTACCTAGAAATTTCACTCTAGAATATTCCTTCATCAAAGTGCATTAACGGGCCTGAAAAAACCTGAAAACTGGTTTCCTTAGAAATGTACCACTCGACTACACCAGCTCTGAAACAGAATGATAAAATGTTTCAGCATCCTGAAAAGGAGAGCAGCTTTATGCATATTACAATTTTCTGGAATGCGATAGAGCTTCTCCCGAAACGGCCGTAAATCACATTTCATCATGCTGAAAACGTCTCTAACTTGTGGAAGAATTGAGAAAAATTCCTGTCCACCCATCTTCATGACAATATCAAAACCATAATCAGTTAAGATTCTTCAAAACGGTCCATGGACATTAGACATTAATTGATTAGAAATTTATAGCGATCTCGATTTACAAAAAGGAAATTAAATTATTTGATGACGTAATTAATGCAATAAATAATCTTGGTTCATGGTGCACGTTCTTAGTCATTAAACAGACCATAAGTAGAACAGTACCCTATAACTATTTAAAAACGCATTATGTGCCTAAGAAGCGTCCCTGGATACATTACCAAACAGGTAAGTTTGGTATTTAATATCTGCTTAAACCAAACAAAACGAAAAAAAAAGAATATGCAGTCTATATAGACTACATATTCTTTTTTTTTTAATTAAACGTGTCTCTACTAAGAACTAATGATTTCTCTAAATTTATTTGGTCATTATATTTCGTCAGAAAATACAGTGGTGGATGTTTGATGGTGGATAATTAGAAGCACTTCTTATTAATAAGAAAAGTATAACTTAAACGTTCAAATGTTTGTAAAAAAGATACTAAACGCTTGGACGCCTAATTAGAAACATTTAAAAAAAGCATCCACAGCTCGTTCTTTTTTTGAAATTGGAGAATGACATTTCTTTCTTGGCTTTTTCTACTATTTTGGCGGCAATTCAAAATTTAATATAAATTTTATTTTGATCAAAATGGGCAAAAATAAAAGTTTCAATGTGTCCACTAGGCAAATATTTGTTAATTTACATATAGATCATAAGTGGGCGTACAGAAGAATAGCTGAGCATGTAAATTTTTCTATTTAGATATTTTTTAAAACAATTGATCATTATAAAACACATGGAACTGTTGAAAATGTTCTTAGTAAGGCTCGGCCAAGAATTAATTAATTAAAAATAAATAAATAAATAATTAATTGGACTGTACGAGAATGGAGGAAAAAAGTGTTCTGTGTCTGTGTGTTTCAGATGAAACAAAAATAAATACACAAGGAGTAGGTATATTCAAGCACGGTGGCGGTAGCATTAACATTTTAAGGGGATTTTTCCGGATGTGGGAAGATTGAAGGCACAATGGATCAATACAAAAATATCTTAGAGCACACAATGGTTCCCTACTCGATCATTTGCCTGTAACCTGGATCTTTCAGCATGACAATAACCCTAAACACGGCGAATAGCGTCAAATGTTTCCTTAGCGAACAGCGTATATGCGTTTTAGACTGGCCAGCAAATTGTCTGGATACATTTAAATACGATAGAAAATCTCTGGTATATTGTTAAAAAGAAAGTCTCAAACAAACGTAACACCAGTAAAAACTAACTATATGAAGAACTTGTTGAAGCATAGAATTCAATACCACTAGAAAAATTTATGAAATTGATTGAATCAATGCCACGTCGTTGCAGTGCTGTTATTGAAAATAAAGGATACGCCACTTAATATTAATTATAACTATTGTTAGGGTGTGGATAGTACATATTTCGTCGTTTCTTAGTTTGTCCGTAATATTGAAACTGCACTTGTGTAATGGGATTTATATTGTTTTTTCTAATAAATGATAAATCGTTGAGCATGTTGTTGTTCTATTTATTGTTTAATTTAAAAATAAAAACGATTGCGGTGAAGTATCTTACATAATGGCAAAGACCGTTGGCAGTGATTCTATACGTAATTACACGTCTGTATATAAAAGCTAAATGTTAATTTCAAAATGATATTTTTATTAGTTGTCGTTATAAATAATATATAGAGGAAAATATGGTAATGTGACTCCCCCACTTTGTTTTAGAAGTTTTATTTATTTAATATATTAAAAATATAAGAAATGTTTTATTGGGTTTCGTATTTATTTGTGTATGAAACAAATGAAAGTAGCTAAATAAAATAAATATATCATTTATTATTACGTAATCACATTTGACATCACGAGATCAACTGATGGTTTTTATTAAGCTACTTCATTCTTAAAAGTATTCTGAACATTATTTTTCACCGCCAGCTGATAAGCCATTTTTATAACACCATCCTAGAGAGTCCATAGGACTAGTCTACATATAAACTAAATATATTCCACTAACTTTTCTTCCAGGCTGTGGTAGTATAGGTTTCCAAACTAGAGGTTTGAGTACAAGTAACTCTAAAGACTCTTGTGGATCCTTCACTAACCGTTTCAGTGTAGATCTGGGCACTGAAAACAGTTTTTCAGCTTTTTTATATCCCATGACTTTTAAGGCCTCACTGCCTGATTGCTTTTTTCATTTGTTTAGGGTCCCACGTTTTGTTTCTTCTTCGAATATATTATATACTTTGTATTAGACAACTGAAACCGCAAAATAAAAATATGTGAATAAACAAGACTTACTTGTTATGTGCCCCCGAGACCATGATACAATCAATGTCAGGGGGCCAAATTATAATTATTGAATATACCATTTATAAAATATTTAATAAATAAACAACCTAAAACAATTGGAAAACTTATTTTACCTTATAAATCCCGAACACAATGGTAAAAACAACAGCAAAAACTATCAATTTTAGGAGGTCACATTACCACCTGCGATATATATACATATATATAAATAACGCATTATTTAAATATCGGCGCTCTTAACTGCATGCAGTATTCAACGATCCACAGTAAACAATAATTTAAATAAATTATAAAACTTTGCAAATTAAATAAAACATTTTTATTCGGTAATCCGGTAATACAAATATGCCGCAACATATTGCATATTAATGTTAATATAATTTCTGGTGCCATACATTTTCATTAATATTTTACTCATTTTGACATATTCATACTTCGCATTACGAGTCCCGCCATCTTCAATTTTTCTTTTTATGGTGACATATATGCTGCTATGCCCACCACCTTGCCATTTCGGTTTATCTGTTAACATAGCATGTTTCGCTAAGAATATTTATCTTTAAAGTAATAAAATCTATTAAGTAATCATTTTTAAGCCTAATATATTCGAAATGTTTAACGAAGATACGTCTACAATTAGTAACTGTATACTTAAATAAATTATTTTCAGATTATCGTAACTGTGGGGATTGCTGTAAGTAGCGTCTCCGACGGCTTCATTTTTGGTCAAATGTCTGGGATGTTGGAAGCTTTGCACAATGCTGAAGGCTCATTTTCGCTCGACAATAATGATTTGTCATGGATCGGTAATTTCCTTTAATTTAGATTTTGATTAATATCATTCTAGGTGATTGACCGCACTTAATCAAACAAAACTTCATGGTAATATAATTTGATTTCAACAATGTTTTCGCTATTACGCTGTATGTACAATGTATTCGTTAAGTCTAAGTAACAGTATGCTTTAGATCTTCAGACATAATAAATATTGTGTTTTTACTCTTGTGTTAGTGTTCCAAAATCTGATTGAGCTAGCTCAGGCTTGCCAATAAAACACAAAAAACATAATATTTTATTAAGTCAAAAAACCCTGTAAGACTGTTATGATATGAACCAGTTTTTATAATCAATTTTAATTATATTTTTAATGATACATCTACGTACAATTACAAATTCCACACATTTTATCAAATTCATTGTTAGTTTTACGAGTATTTACGGTTTAATCACAATACAAGAACTTGTTTTCAGCTTCTACGATTAACATCACATGTTTAATTGGATTCGCTATAATAGCTGTGGTAACAGAAATATTTGGAAGAAAAATGTCCGTAACTATAGCAACAATCCCAGTGATTATATCCTGGATAATGACTTACACAGCTCACAACAAAACAGTTTTATTACTATCTAGACTTTTTGCAGGAATTTCGTACGGAGGTATTTTATTTGTAAGTTATGTAAACATAGGCGAATATATGTCTCCAAACATCAGATTCATGTCTTTTAATATGCTAGTTTGTGTGGGATCTCTTGTCGGAACTATGTTAGGACACATGTTAAGCGTGGTAATGGATTGGAGGAACGTGGCACTCGTTGGGCTTATTCCTTCCCTATTATCCGCTACGATTCCATTCTTTTGGGTTGAAAGTCCGATGTGGTTAGCAGGAAAAGGCAGGTTCGAAGAATGTGAAAAGACCTTTCGTTTACTTCGCACGCCAGGAGAGGATGCGGAAGAAGAATTAAAACTTCTTATTTCAGTTGAGAAAGATAAAAAAACTAAGTATAGACAAATGAAAAGTAACCTTGTTGCATTGAGTATGTTAAAGGATGCTTTTAAGAAACGGTATTTTTGGAAAATATTCTTTTTATCCTTACTCGTTAATATATATAAAGTTGCAGCTGGCAGGGTATTGTTCAGTACATTGGCAATAACAATTCTTCAAGGCATTACAGGTACATCTGATATACTCTTATTTACCTTAACAACTAATGGGTTTGCTGTCTTTGGCGCTTGCATATCATGTTTATTACTGCGAAGATTCAAAATGAGACAATTGTTATTTCCAACTGCATTCTTAGCTAATATTTGTCTTATTATTTTTGGCCTTGTAATATACTTGAAGCCGGATAAAGATGAGGTTTTTAATTGGATTAAAATTTTACTTCTTGCGACATATTTAGTGATTGTTGGAGCTGGACCTTATCCAGTGTCAGAATCTATATTAACTGAGATTCATCCACTAGAGCTCAAAACGTTCAACATGTGTACAATCGGTGCTATTTGTGGTATCATCCAATTTTTAGCTATTAAATTGGCCCCAGATATGTTCCTTGTCATAGGTTACCATGGAGTATTTTTCATTAACGCTTTTATAACATTTCTATGTCTTGTTTACCTCTGGTTCTTTTTACCGGAAACTAAAGGTAAAACATTACAAGAAATTGAATTGTATTTAAAAAATAATAAGTGTCATGACTCCGATAACATAAAACAAGAACAAATGAAGGAATTATTAAACATAAAAACAATAGCGGCTAGTGATTTAAACGCCTAAAACCGGATTTCACTAAAATAGAGCAAAAATATACTTCACCAAAGAACAACCGTAAACCATCTAATGAAATTACGATAGCCAATTATATTTATACTAGAGATTTTTAATAATCTAGTCACAACGATCAAGTCCCTTTATTACTTAGCATGTATAATTTTAATTTTGACGGCTCATTGGTCTACTGGTTAGTACCCGTGACTGCGAATCCATTGGTCCCGGGTTCGATCCCCGGCTGAGACAAACATCGATGTGATGAGCATTTGGTGTTGTGCTTAGGTCTTGGGTGTTTAAACATGTATTTATATGTCTATCTATCTATAATATGTATGTATATCCGTTGCCTAGTACCCATAACACAAGCTTCACCAGCTTAGCATGGGACTAGGTAATTGGTGTGAATTGTCCAATCATAAAAAAAAATTATAAATATGTTTTGGTAATTGGTAGTTATAATATGTATTATGTGTTGTCGCCGTTACCGGTGTCATTTTAATTTGTATGTTATATACAAATAAAATACTGTAATTATTAACTGTGTTTAAATATACTGAGAATATTTTACAATACTATCATATAAAGTGTTGTAACGAGTTCATGTTAAGGAGTTTATATTATATATTTTGTCGAAGAAATAATTATAAAATATAATATATATAATTAAATTGGCTAAGAACTGGTAAAAGAGAAATCGTATTAGCTTACTTTTAGATTTTTTATTTATTTCCCACATAATTAATCTATCTACAGTTATTACTAATACGATAGAGCTACCTTCACCGATAATTCTACTTCAAAATACATACAAACAACGCATGTACCTAGATTTTATAACTAATAATATAGCAACCAGCCTTGCGATTCTGTAACTCACTTTTCGAACTCACACAGCGGTTTTCGCATCGGCGGTCGCTCTCAAATCAGTCGTGAAGCAGTCATTTTATGATTTGGCATTCTGATAAACAATAAACTACAAGCTCCCACCTTTTCAGAATGCCAAATCATAAAATGACTGCTTCACGACTGATTTGAGAGCGACCGCCGATGCGAAAACCGCTGTGTGAGTTCGACAAGTGAGTTACAGAATCGCAGGGCTGGATATAAATCTTATTAATTACGTGCACGCTCGCGTGAGTGGCGCCTCGCTAACCAAGTTGGAAAGTGCGCGCGCTCCATCCAACAGATTTTTTAAATGTTTTCTAGATAATTTCCCGACTATGTAGTCGTCGGAGGTATTAAATAGCTTACGTAAATGGTATTGGTAACCCGGATGATTAAACACTACTACCTATTTGTTTTAACAACTTTTTGTATGATCTTTACAGCAAATTGCAAAAAGATGCCTCTTGACCTAATGACGAACATTATTTCCTTTAAATTCGTCTCTGTTCCTTTTATGCCCAAAGCTTGTTCAGTGTTATACCTGTCGTATCCATACATTGGAGAGTCGGTCAGAACATGTAACACAGTCTCTTCAGCTGTATTGCTACAAGGACAGGCGGCACTTTGTCAAACCCTGAACCTGTAAAACATACATCCAACATTTGTGACTTCCACCTCAGATTCTTGCTTGGAACCCGTAAACCCAGTTCCCCATTATATCCACATTATGCACCCGACCCAAAAGTATCCTAAATAAGTATACTGATGTATATCAACTGTTGCAAAACGTTATCTAATCGAGTTGTATATCAGAAACATCGTCAACTTCTTAAATGACGCTGAATCTAAATGTTAAATGTAGGTTAATATTGACTAACTTGACTTAAATTAATCATCGCACCAAGCCTTTTTGTTCGTTTGCTTTGGACGGCCACACTTCCGCTTTCCTTGCGGGTTCCAATCAAGCGAAGAAAAAAAGTTTGTGTCACATTATTTCTAATTGGTCCATCTATCTGCACTTCCAGCCGGAAGATTATATAATATAAAAAATTCTCGTGTCATAACGTTCATTCTCCTCTGAAACGGCACGATCGATTCTAATGAAATTTTTTATGCATATTCAGTAAATCTGTGAATCGGACATCTATTTTTCATCCCCTTACATGTTAAAGGTAGTCCCACCCCTACATTTTTATTTTTATTTTTTTGACAAGGCTTTTTGTTTTTATTTTTTTTATGATACAGCATACAAAAATACATACAGCCCTTAATTGTCCCCTTCCACCATCAACCCCTATTTTTTATTATACTTAGTAGATAGTTATTTTTATTGAACTAAAAAAATATTTCCTAGAAATAATATACATGGAAAAACGACGTTTGCCGGGTTAGCTAGTTGTTTTATAAAATAATATTTGAGTATTATCATATGTATAGTTAGCTTGAACGTTAAACAAGCATGCGACATACGTATACTTCGGGCTTGATGTTTCTTTCCATGTGTGCATTAGCGCTCGTACGGTGAAGAAAAACATCGTGATAAAACCAGGCATCCCTTAGACGCTAAAGTCGATGGCGTGTATGATCACGTATTTGCCTATTAATATGAACAAAAAACGGATACAGAAATCTGTGGCCTAGGCCAAGGTTCGTAGCGCCACTGGATTTTGTTACTTACCATACTATTATTTTTTTCGTTTATATTTTATACATTTATTTATGAAAGCCTTTGTTGACTTATCAGCTTTTAGCGTGACTATTATCAGCAATATCAATGAAAAATGTTGCGAAAACGGGAATACTTTAGGTATATATCGATAGATTAATCTAATTATTAATTTAAAGGAAACAAACCTCATTCCTTGTAATGAAAATAATACAGCGACATTTTATAAATTCTTATTTCTCTACTCATAAATATCTGCGAAGGAAATAATGTTGAGCCCAATAAGCAATATTTATTACTCTTATAGCTCTGAGCACTATGCCGTCATTTCTGAGCGGTACATATGAGTACGTGAGTGAATGGACTTTCTCAGGTACAATTGGGGAATTTCGACTAATTATTATTGTACGGCTTTGTTATAAGTGTATAGATGATTAAAAATAAATGTCGAAAAACTTAGTGCCGTACTAAAGTGATGGTACCGGAAGTCGGTGCAAATTTTTAATTCGACGATAGTTGCAGGAGCAATATAGGTCATTTATTACTGTACGGCATTTGCGTAATTCCTTTTGGACACATATACAGATACTTTACCCGTAAACGCCGTACATATTTCCAGCGGAGCGGTCGAAAGCTAAGGGTCGCAACATATGTCTGATTAGCATATAGGTGATGATGATATAGAACAACATAAAATTAAATGATCTTGAGAGTTCTTCACAAATAGGTAACATTTTCCAGCATGCCGTACATTTTTTGTGGAACACATAGGTGTATGGGGTAAATTACTTCCCTCCGAAAAAGAGTCATTTTCCGGTGACTTTAATCTGTACGGCAATAACACAGGTTATTAATACTTTAGACAATCTTCAATAAAAGATAAATGCCGTACACTTTCGATAGTCCGCTAGTCTGTGAAATGGCAGATTATACCACCGCCTACCAATATAGGGCGTCCCAAAGTTATGGGATATGAAGGGGAAGTACCTTAAATATCGTAGATAGGGTATTTTACTAAAAGAAGACTTTATGTTATTTTTAAAAGTTAGTAATTCTGCATTCAAAGATTTTCTAAAAATTACTTGCCTCGTCTGGGAATCGAACCGACTTTGATGTAAAAAAAAACCCTACTTTTATGATGCCAATCGAAAGAATGGCCAAAAACTAATAACTCTTCTTAAGTAACATAGTATTTTAAAAGAAAGGAACTGCGTGAATATATCTTTTCAATCAAATTAAAAACATTATCTGTCGTATTCGGCCTAAAAAAATCCCCTACTAGTCTGTTACTTTAGACAAGTTATTAGGTTTTGGCCATTCTTTCGATTGGTATCATAAAAGTAGGGGTGTTTTTTTTACATTTAAGCCGGTTCGATTTCCAGACGAGGCTAGTAATTTTTTCAAAATCTTTTAATGCAGAGGTACTAATTTTTAAAAATAACGTAAAGTCTTCTTTCAGTAAAATACCCTATCTACGATATTAAAGGTACTTTCCCTTCATGTCCCAAAACTTTGGGACGCCCTGTATTATATTTTTATTTTTGTTAAAAATACTTTTCCTTCCGTATGAGCAGAGAGAGGTCTCTGCTCATACGATAAGGCTGTAAATATACTTTACAGCCTTATGGTAGTATACTCAGATACGTACAGTTATTAATGACCTTAAGGGACACCTCAAACGTCGTCGAAGTTTTTATCAGCTGTAAAGAATAATCTGGAGCAAAATGTACGGCATCTGGTTTTTTTTGTTTATTTATATTTGTTACATATAAAATAACAATAATCTTTGAAAAAATTACTCCTCATATTAGTTTAGGAATATTTGAAAAATCATCTAAATTTCAGAAATTTCATATATTTTTCATCATAATATTTTTATTTGTTACCATTTATAATGAACGGCTATAAGGTACAACGGTAACATTTAGTAACATTATATAAAAAAAACAAGTTGCCGTACATTATTCTCTGATCTTACAGCAGTAATAACTCGGTAAATCCTGAAATTTCGATAAATATTTATTTACACAAATATTAACTATAATTTTTGAACGGCATATTTATAAATCATTATTGTCTGTGTTAAATAATATTTTGAACATGTTGCCGTACATTTTACAATGACCTTAGGGTATATGGGTGTAGGGGTAGGGTTCCGACCCTTGGCTTTCGACCGCTCCGCTGGAAATATGTACGGCGTTTACGGGTAAAGTATCTGTATATGTGTCCAAAAGGAATCACACAAATGCCGTACAGTAATAAATGACCTATATTGCTCCTGCAACTATCGTCGAATTAAAAATTTGCACCGACTTCCGGTACCATCACTTTAGTACGGCACTAAGTTTTTTGACATTTATTTTTAATCATCTATACACTTATAACAAAGCCGTACATTAATAATTAGTCGAAATTCCCCAATTGCACCTGAGAAAGTCCATTCACTCACGTACTCATATGTACCGCTCAGAAATGACGGCATAGTGCTCAGAGCTATTTTCAGATATAGTAACAGCCTTCTAAGCGTAATTCACGTTGGGTCATTTCACAGGTATTTTTTGTTTATGGGCTTGTGGTCTATTAGTAGTGTATTTTGTGATCAATATTGTGCTGTACTGTTTTCAATAGTTCTTTTTTATCGTTGTCCTCGTGTGATGTGGTGGTGATACCTCATAAAATATAGAACCGACCACACTATGTAAATTTCAATTGTCTGTATAAATTGTGTTTTTCATACATACTATTATGGTGCAACAACCGCAATGGAGGCCCAAACATTGCGACAGGTACATTAGATTTAATAATAAAATTTAATAATTATGATTTATAATCATAAAACTGTCACGTTACAGGTCAATTTGTGATTTAGCTAGAGCATTCACGGGTTGATTGAAAATATTTTGTAGATTCGGAAAAAAAATATTGTAATTAGTCAAAACTGATTTTTACTGACATATCTTCATGTTAATTAATTTAAATGTATATTATATGTTAAATTTATGATTGAAGCCTTTATTTCAACAACCAAGTTCTTTCACTTATAACTTTACATATTGTCGTCTGCTACTTTTATTCTACAGAATCGCGGGAGGGCGCATACCTACTCTTTACCACATTGGCAATTACTATACTAAAAGAAATAACAGGTGATAATGATATACTGAAGCAAACAATTTTAATAGATTGTTTTTTATACTTGGAGCGATGCTTTCTTGCATCTTGGTTAAAAGATTCAAAATGAGAAGTTTACTCTTCACGTCAGGAATTGTAGCGAACATTGTATTATTAATTTATTAATTGGGTTAAAGTGTTTGCTGTTTTTTTTATAACTATCATGGCAGGGCCCTATGGGGTCTTAAGAGACTTTGTTAACGGAGATAATTCCATTGAGTGTTAAAACATTTTTTAAAATTTTTTCGGTGCTATTGTTGGAGTATTTCAGTTCTTAGCTATAAAACTAATACCGGCCATGTTAGTTATCGGTTATCATGGAATATTTTTTCTTAACGCTGGTATTATTTTTATAAGTAAGTATGTTATATCTATGGATTTATTTACCCGAAACTAAAGGGAAGTCTTTAGAAGAAATTGAGTGTTATTTTAAAGATATAGAACACTAAGGATTTAGATTCAAATGATCAGTATTATGAAATTATCAAGTTGACTACATGTGATGTAACACTAGTTAAATAAAAACATTAATAAATATAAGTAATATTTTTTTTATTAAAAGCTGTTTTATCAATTAACTATTGTTTTACACGTAATACAGTTAACAATCATGATTATAAGATTTCCGGACACCTTTATTCAATAAGGCATCTTTGTTTATTGTACACAGGTCAATGCTTTAGTTAAAACAGGAGTGATTTATTTTGCGCACTTAATTAGTTAGAACTTATAACAAGAGATACAAATGAAATGCGTAAAATTGTCGTGATACACAGTCTTACTTTACATCTGTAAAATTGCAGTTGCATAAAATTTTCATATCACGATATCATCGTATCGTATAAGTATCTGACTAATAATAATAATAACCACTGGAGCTACAATTTTCTAGTCTGCCCTGCGATTCTGTAACTCACTTTTCGAACTCACACAGCGGTTTTCGCATCGGCGGTCGCTCTCAAATCAGTCGTTAAGCAGTCATTTTATGATTTGGCATTCTGAAAAGGTGGGAGCTTGTAGTTTATTGTTTATCAGAATGCCAAATCATAAAATGACTGCTTCACGACTGATTTGAGAGCGACCGCCGATGCGAAAACCGCTGTGTGAGTTCGAAAAGTGAGTTACAGAATCGCAGGGCTGGGCTGGGATTTCTGATCATTTATTGTATTTAATAGACAAGTAGGTGATCGGCCTTCTATGTCTGACACACGCCGTCGACGTTTTTAGACCCATAAGCATGCACTCACGATGTTTTCCTTCACCGTATGCGCGAGTGTTGAATGTATAACGAAAGTCTATTGGTGCACAGCCGCAGGATATCCGAATAACTCAATAAATAAAATTAATTTTCAGACAAAGACCTTTGCCGCTTCTGTTTTTTTAAACATATAATCTTATAGATTCTAGAACATTAAGAAAAGGGAGAGAGCGATTGAGACCGATTGAGAGAGAGTGAGAAGGGCGAATTACCTTATAGAAAATCTATTTTTAAATTTAAAATTTCGTAAAGAGTATTTATGAAATTATTTATTTAGTATTTTATATTTTATGCAAAATAATTTATTGAAATCTCAAGTGACGACTTGTAAATTAAAATGCCACGAGTTTTTATTATCGAAGAAATAAAATATATTTTTTTATTATGTGTATTAATTTTCGACCATTTTAATATTTTAATGACAATTAAATTCCTAACATATCTTCCTTTTTCCCGCCCTCTAAGTCTCGGAAATTTAAAGTTTTAGATTTGTATGAATATGAACAAGACTTAAAAATTTGTTTGCCAAAGAAGTTTCACTTGTGACATGTGTACTTTGACCGCACGCACTTTTACTTATTTTATATTATACATGTTTCAACCTTACCTGAACTTCCACAAATATTTCAAGATCAAAATTACCCAAATCGAGCCTTTAGACATTAACACGAACTTCAAGCGTCGGGATTTGTTTTTATTTTGTATTTTTTTATACTATAGGACGTACAGTCCTCCATATGAGCACGTTAAACCAAATGTTGTTGTTCAACCAAATGCATACGATACTTAGTGAAATACTTAGCCCAAAACGCTAAGGCTCTTTGTGAGCCGTTTAGATTTTTCAGTCAGATAACGGCTGACTTGGATAACTTAAAACAAACATGCTGTGTGATACTAACGAAAGCTTTCTTTGATTTGTATCACTACCCCACCTAGCTTTTGTTACATTATCTTTTTTTATATAACCTCAAAAGTTTCGACCAAAACCACCGAAAATTCCACCACAATACATAGATAACTTTGTCTTATAAAAGTCTTCTAGATAAACTCTCTAAAAACCTCATCCATAAGCCATAAACAAACATAACATAAATGTGTGATGTTTTAAAAATATACATTAGTTGTGTTTCTTAAGATTAACTTTTAGTTATATTGTAGATGTTAATTTCGTAATTTTATAAGTGTACATTGTCTGTAATTTTCTTTTGTAAATTTAGTTATGCACTTTTTGCTCGTTACCCTTAGTATTTTTTTTTTTCGTTTTCCTTACTATGGTAGCTTTGAAGGTTGTGCATAATGTGCATTATAAATTGTTAAAAATATAAATATTTTTTTTTAACTTTGTAAGGGCTTTGGGAAAGGCGAACGAATGAAATCATTGATTTACATATGTGGTGAAAATTACCACATAAAAGGTTTGTTAGAAGATAAATAATGTATGTTCTCTAATTGTATATGTATTATTAATGCAACAAAGTGTTAATAAATAAATAATCAAACTATCTCGTTTCTATGCTCTGTTTGGAATTTAATCCATTTAATCAAATCCAATCCAAAAACTTATTTATAACCAATTATTCTTATCAACAATGTAGCGTATACAAATCAATAAATAATCTCCTATCTGACAGGATAATAACATATAATTGTGTTTTTTAATTAATCGCTACAAATCAATTAGGTATAATGAATCCGTAGTTTCCACATTTTTACAGACATAATTGTTTTTTAAATATTCATATTATAATAAGCTTTTCAACTTCTGATCATTCTCGGTACATGCAGTGGTAGTTGATGCTTATAGAACTGTATCATTCAGCATGAGTAAGAAAAAAAAATAAGAAATGTACGGATTATCACAAAACCTACAGAACCGATTTGCATGAAACTTTGACTGGTTGAATTTGAAATTAAAAAGGGATCGGGATGTGACTATTAGTTTCCGAGAAATATCCGGACATAGATGCATATTCTACGACATTAAACAGAAGTCATTGGAAGCCTAAATTCATCTATGATCATATTGATCAAACTGATAGTCGAGATGATAGCACTACTACAAAACACATATCGTTCTAGAAGACAAAAGTTTATTTTAATTAATTAATTATGCAGAGAAAGGAAAAGGTAATACCTTTTTTGGTATAACATTTGCTGTTGTGATAGTAAAAAAATTTTTTTTATAAATTTTAATTAATGTTGAACGGTGAAGGAAAACATCGTGAGGAAACCGACATGTCTTAGACACAAAAAGTCGACGGCGTGTGTCAGGCACTGGAGGCTGATCACCTACTTGCCTGTTAGATTTAAAAAAGATCATGAAACAGATTCAAAAATCTGATGCTTGTTGAAAGAGGTTGTAGCGCCACTGAATTATTTATTTTATTTAATGTTGATACATTCAAGAATCGGATGCGATCGGAGTAGGGTTTTCACGTTCCCATAATGCCATGGCACTTGATAAATAACGATCAGGTCTAAATAAACATATTAATATGAATGGTTTCAATCTTCAATTAAAACCACAGATTTTGAGAAAAAAAGTTCAATAGGCCCTCTAAAAAGCAGAAAAGCTTTCCAGGTAGAACTTTAAAGTCGAAGTCAAATTCAGTGTTGATACGTGTAATTTGCGGTATTAAAACACATCAACGTGAGTTTTAAAAATATTTTCATATACGATATATGTGTACATACAATAACTAAAAGACGTATTTGAAACCGCTGTCATTATAACAATTCGCGAAGACGTTCATTATTTATGTGATCGAATTTACCTGTCCTGAAAAATAATTCGACATTTTGTAAAGTTTTACCTTTAGTTTCAGGCATATACCTCCACATGTAAATTATACAAGCGAAAACAACAACAGAATTAAAAAGAAAAGTTCCAGAATAGCCTATATTATCAAACATTGTTCCCGCTAATTTGATCCATAAAAATTGTATCGTCCCCCCCAGCCCTCCAATTAGGGTTAGGGTTGAAGGACTCCTTTCTCCGCAATTAGACTCGAGGTTGGTCCGTTGTGCGTAAGCCCTCCAATTAGAAAAATACTAAATTCCTTTATATCCAAAGGATGTATTTCAGCCAGAACTATGTCCAAGACGGGGTATGGTCCGGCATTAATGATTATACAATAACATGCTATAAGAAGAATTTTTATCCAAGGATACCATTCTTCATTTGGCACAAAGTATAACGATGCACTCACTAGCAATAGTAAAATATTTGCTATAGACCCAGAAACGAGCAAGAGTCTTCTTATCGAAAATCTCTTTACCAAAAAGCACGATAATGCTGCACCAAATATCCCAAACCCGTCGACGACTATAGTATATAACAAAATATCGCTATCTCCTGTTATTTCTTGTATCAATGTTAAAGCTAATGTAAATAGCAAAATACGACCAGCCGCAGCTCTATATGCTCCAATAATAACACCAATAATAATGATTCGCCAGTAATATACCTCTTTACATGCAAACAAAAATTTTACGAATGCACTATTCGTATTAGTCTGCATCAAAAACTCTCTTTTCTTCTGTTTCTCGTGCGAGATTAGTTCCCGAAGCTCAGATTCTCTTATATCACTTTGAGCGTGTAATGTCCAGAAAGCCTCTTCAGATTCTTCAAATCTACCGTGTGTCGCCAGCCAGGACGGACTTTCGGTCCAAAATAAAGGAATCAAGCAAGATATCCCTGTAGGTACCAAACCTATTAACGCAACATATCTCCAATCCATAAGAAGGCATAGTACATGTCCCAATGTTACGCCAACCTGAGATCCAACGCTGGAAATAAACGAGAAAGCGTATTGTCGTACGTTGGGATCTAAATATTCCACAATGCACACAGAGACAAGCATTGCTACTCCACCAAAAGTGACTCCGACTATGACTCTGGTACATAAAAGAAGAATTTTGTCCCCCACGAAGTAAAGTATGATCCAGCATATTAATAGTGGAGCGCTAAGCGTTGATATTTATTTATTTTATTTATTATTTATTAACACTTCGTTGCAAAAAACAATAAATCAAACACAATACAAAAAAAAAATTATAAGGGATGCAACGGGCGGCCTTATCGCTAATAAGCGATCTCTTCCAGGCAACCCTAGTTAAAGAAAAAACTAAAAAAAAAAAAAAAAACATGATTCGTGCGAGAAGTGCAGTAACAAATGTTATATAAAAATATATATATATATACATAGTACCTTAATCTAAAGTAATACAAAAAAAAAAATAATAACAATAGACTAAAAACTTAAAAGCTAATCTTACAAATACATGGACAGCAAATAGTGATGTAAAAGGAAACATAAGATTTATACAAGTCACGATTGATCAGGATAGGATAAGGTTAAGTAATGATTATACAGAAGAGTTTTAAAAGATGACAGAGAGGTAGCCAATCGTACGGAGTCGGGCAGCGTATTCCACAACTTAATGGCGGAGATCGTGAATGAATTGCCTAAGAAGGATGAAGTGTGAGATGGAATTTCCAATAAACATCTATTAGAAGAGCGTAACATATAGTTAGAAGGACCTAAGAATTTAAAGTGACTTTTGAGATAAGAAGGGGTTTTCGGATTGAAAAGAATTGAGTATAGGAGTTGAAGAAGATGAGCGTGACGTCTGAATCGAATAGGTAGCCACCCCAGCTGCCTGCGGAATTTAGACACATGGTCATATTTCCTAAGACCAAATATGAACCGTATGCAGAAATTCTGCAGGCGTTCGATCTTGTCAAGTAGCTCTTCGTTCAAATCAGTGGAGCATGAGTCCGCATAATCGAGAATAGGAAGCAGAAGAGACTGCGCTAACATAGTTTTAGTGCAGATAGGAAGGAAATTAGAAAGACGTTTCAGAGTAAAAGAAGCGGCGTAAAGTTTACGGCTGATCTCCTTTACGTGATGACCCCAGGAAAACGTTTGGTCGAAGAAGACCCCAAGGTTTTTAACAGTCTTATTGAGGGCCAAGGCCACACCGTCAAGGTAAACACCAGGGAGCTGAGCCCATTTGACTCTTGAAATAAAGAAAGGGCTTCCGATGATGATGACTTGACTCTTGGCAGGATTAATTTGAAGACCAAAGTCTTTACTCCAGTTGGCTATGTTTTCAAGATCATCATTCATCGCCTGTATTGCAAGAGGAAGCTCATACAGTGTAGACTGAACGTAGATTTGGAGGTCATCAGCGTAAAGGTGATAACTAGCGGATAGATGTGCAGTCAGGGTGTTGATAAATATAGAAAAAGAAGAGGTGAAAGAACGCCACCCTGCGGAACACCAGCACTTATATTATTCCACTGAGAGTAAGCATCATTCATTTTAATACGCTGCCGACGACCGTTAAGATAGCTATGAAACCAGTCAATAGCGGATGGACAGATATTCATAGAGCGAAGCAACCCAAGCAGAATTTCAAAGTTCACAGTATTGAAAGCATTGCTAAAGTCAAGCAGAGTGAGAACAGTGAGCTGCCCACCATCCATCCCTCGGCGAATGTCGTCACAAACTTTAACCAATGCCGTAGTCGTGCTATGCCCCGGGCGGAAACCCGATTGGAGAGGGTCTAGAATTGAGTTTTTATTCAGAAATCCGCTAAGCTGCGAGTGTATAAGGCGCTCTAGAGCTTTAGATAGGAATGGTAGAATAGAAATGGGCCGGAAGTCAGAAAAGTTAATGGGATCGGGCCGTTTGGGAATAGGAATAACTAGACTATCCTTCCAAGAAGTAGGGAATTTACCACTAGTAACTGAATAATTAAAAATATGAGTAATAACTTGAAGAATAGCTGGCAAGATAGGTAAGATCATAGCACGACTAACTTCATCACAACCAACAGCATCCGACGAGATAGACTGGATGCAACCCTCCACTTCGCGCTCGGTGAATTCAGTGAAATTAAAAGGCATGAAGTTTGGAGTTGGAAGAGAAGCTAGTTTATTGATTGTCTTCCTAAGAGAAGACTTATCGTGGGCAGGAGAACAGGTGAAGTGAGAGTTAAGGTTGTTTATATCTATTGCTGAAGAAATAACATTCTGTGCCGATCTGCCAATCCCCAAGGTTTTGAGGAACTTCCAGATTTTTGAGGTGTCGCCATTGGATACTGAGTCGTGGATATGTTGCCTTTGAGCATCACGACAGCGAGTATTACAACGATTGCGAACTACTTTATATTTTTCGCGCTCCGCATCAGATTTGGCAGTTCTCATTTTAGCTATGGCTCTGTTTTTTTTGTGAATCAATCTTTTAATCTCATCAGAGAGCCAGGGAGCAGGTAAATGTTTAAGTTTAACACGTCTCAATGGGGCGTGCTTATCATAGAGGTTTGTGATGGAAGAAGTGAACAACTGAACTTTGTCGTCGAGGTTAGCTAAGTCGTACAGACCACTCCAGTCAATTTTGGATGCATCACTGAGTAGGCTATCATGGTCGATTCCACCAAAGCTGCGACGCATAACTACCGTGGGCTTCTGCTTGGGTGGCTTCGCTTTAAAGGAGAGATAGAGAAGGTCATGGTGAGAGAAGGCGACAGCAGGAAGTTGCCCATGCTTAGTGACAAGGTGAGGAGAGGAAACAAAAATAAGATCCAATAGTGACGGAGTAAATCCGGGGACTTTATGCGTAGCGTTAAGATATAAGTTTTGTAGGTTGTAAGAGTGAGTTAAAGAAAGGAGCCGTCTGGAGCGAGAATCATTTTTCAGCAGACATGTGTTAAAGTCACCCATGACTATTGTGTTTTTATATAAGGGAGAAAATTGGTCAATGGTGTCTTCAAAGGAATCAAAGTAGTCCACCGATGATGAAGGGGAATAGAAGACTCCCAGGAGAAGCTTAGAGTTGGATAGAAGAACTTCGATAAGGAGATGCTCGGCTGCATTGCTAGGTGGAGGCTGTGGCGATGAGCTAATGATGGAGAAGGGGATGTGAGAACGTAAGTAAATTGCCACACCACCTCCACGCATGCCGAGTCGGTCATTTCTAATTAAATTGTAACCAGGAAGAGAGTAAGTACCAGAGGAAAGGGAAGGATTGAACCAAGTTTCAGAAATAAGTATGGCATGGATGTCTTTAGAGGCCAACGTAAGGAGATCTGTGTGATGAGCTGGAACGCTCTGGGCGTTAATGTGTACAACATTGAAGTGCTTAGGCAAGTTTTGAAAAATAGAGGATAAGGTATTATTTAGGGTAGGCGTGGAGGAGTCAATGCTATGGAAGGAGTCACAATCGGACGATTCCAGAGATAAGAAATCAGAGTTACCACTACTGCAATCCATGATTAACAAAAGTATGATAATATTGATGCTCTTCGACCCAGAAGTTTCGCTAGAATACCCACTACCAAAAATCCGATTACACATGTAATGTTGATTGTGGAGGCTGTAAGAAAATATGTTTGTTTTAATAGAACATAGAATATATTTACAATTGTTTATCATATATGTAATTGACTTTTCTGATTTATTTTGGAACTTAAACCCAGGTACGCTGACTATGTTTCACCTATACCAACGCTACCAAATTTTGTTGCTAGAAATGTGTGGCAGATCCGTTGAGTCTTATACATTTTGAAGACCTTAGTGTTTGAGCATATCTTATTCTGCAGTTTATTTTACGAAAAAAAATCAGCAATTGTAGTATCCTCAGAGCTCAGGCTTTCTAATATTGAGTAGATTTTATAATAATTTTCTGTTTTCACCTCTTTTTTTAGGTGTGGTAACAGTTCAGTTCTGACTTTGTAAATATTATAGAGCTTTATAAAATAAATATATATTTTTTTATATTCATTTCTTTGACGCCTCACGGGCTTTGACAAATCTTTGCATGTTTATTCCATAAGTTTTGTTTAAAAATATGACATGTATCTCTATTTAGATTCACTGTAATGCCGTTAGCCTTAACCGTTTACGAAAATATGAACAAATCGTAGTTTTTATTAAATATAATTATATATATATATACAGTCAAACCTGGATAAGCGAGAGTTCAAGGGAGCACAATCTCATTCTCGCTTATGGAGGTTTCTCACTAACCCGAGTTTCTTGCTAATGCAGGTACATGGGTAGCGTTTCTCTCTTATAGAGGTAAGGAGGAGCAAGTACGAATGTAGTAAATATGTAATATGATAAAATTATGTGCATAATGTGCACAACATATTATATACATATATGTATATTTTATTTTATTTAGAACTAATTTACACTTAAAAAAACCGTCAATTTCGTTTGGGTTTCTGTTTTTGTATTTTGAATGTTTATCTCTAACTGATAAATTTTGTCGAATAATGCTTGATCAACAACCGCCGCGTTTTCAAAGTACTGATGGGGACCGTCTCCAATGCATTTAAAGTACATAATATAAATAATAAAGCCCGACTGTCGCTTATAGAGGTAAAGATAAGTAGCAGTCTCACTTACGGAGGTGCATGAGGGGAAAAACGGCTCTCTCTTACAGAGGTTTCTGTTTCTCGCTAATAGAGGTTTTGGGAGCTTAAAATGGCGGTTCCCGGTTATTACTCTCACTTGTAGAGTTTTCTCACTTATCCAGTTCTCACTTACCCAGGTTTGACTGTATATATATATATATATTATATATAGTATATTGTGTTTGGTTTATGCGAGTACAACACATTTAAATAAAATTAATTAACGAATAAAACCCGAATTTACCATATACGTATTTGCGTAACTCGACGTCCCGAGTGTAATTCAGCATATGTTTATGTGCCCGATATCGACTAATGTTAAAAATTAATTAAAACCGCACTTATGTTAAGGATGTTTCCATTCTACTCCATTAATCTAATATATAAAATTCTCGTGTCGCGGTGTTTGTAGTTAAACTCCTCCGAAACGGCTTGACCGATTCTCATGAAATTTTGTGTGCATATTGGGTATGTCTGAGAATTGGACAACTTCTATTTTTCATCCCCCTATATGCTAAGGGTAGTCCACCCCTATTTTTTTTTTTAATTTTTAGATACATTTTTTTTATTTTTTTATGATACAGCATTAAAAAATACATACAACCCCTAATTTTCACCCCTCTACGATCAATCCCTATTTTTTATTATAAATGATATACATGGCAAGACGACGTTTGCCAGGTCAGCTAGTAATTCTTATAAAAACCTAATACTAACTATTCTAGAATAATATGAACGAGGTATAACCTATCCATGATATGTCATCATCTGTTAATGATATCGTGCTGTCAGAAGCTCTTAAGGCATCTGTCATTCCTGACATTTGACCGAAGATGAAACCGTCGGATATACAGCAACATGTCATCCCAGCTATAAGCAGAATCTGAAATATGAGAAAACAAATAAAAGTAAATACCGTATATAAAAAGCCTACCGTACCGTATAGAAGAAGTGAAAACCCAAGTGTACGAGTTTAGACTGAGATCCGAACCATAGTTTTCAGAAATTTCACGTATAGTAAAGTACCTACAGTTTCACGTGTCGATTTTTGGTCAAAACCGTCACGGTGTTGAAGAAAATCCTAATTGCGCATTGGTTTCAACAAAAGATTCACGCTTTAGTTATTTTCCAACTCGGTAGCAAAAGTTAGACGCCAAATTCAAGTCCCAATTGAGGCTTATCAGGTTAAACTAAGTTATTTATATGATTTAAGAACGATTAATCAAGCAATCACACTAGCACGTCATCTTTTTATATGATGTACAAAAACCCGAAGTAGGAGTTCTTAATTTTTGCAGAAAACAAGTTCTTTGAAATCAGTCCAATTACAGTAATAAAAGAGTCCATTATCTGAATCTCGGAAATATTACTAGTTTCAAAAATGTATCTACCGTTAATTTTATGATCGTGCTACATATTCTATTGCATATTTAAAATTGAGTCAGTATGCCTCATTGGGATAAACGTTACAAATTTATAGTAACTTATTTTAACTAATTACATAATTGACACACCCTTTATTCGCTACATATTCATTGATTAATTCAAAATAATATTTTAGCATTATTGCAAAAGTTAATAATAAATAATGGATTTTATTCTCAGCAAGGAATATGAAATCAGTTGAACTCAGGGCCATAACAAATGTGTTATACATATAAACAGATGTATTAATTAGTTTGACGTTATATTATTTAAAAAATCACGTAGTATCTTGCAGGCAAGTTGGGCGTTACTAATTTGCTTCTTAATAACGGACGATTAGTGGCTAACCTTACATTTTTTGAACAAAAACCATAATTTACGTCGGAATCCAATAATTTCATTATAGTAGACCGTATAATTAATTTCATAAAATTTAATCACTAACAATACACTATTATTTTAATATAATTTAAATAACAATTTCCATTCAGATAAGATCATTAAAATTCGTAATAAATATATAGGTTTATTCATTATTTCGCCTTTTCCTTTTTTAACGAAAGAAAGGTTTCAGATATAATTTAATTCTTTATTAAATGATTCCAAACAGAGTGTTATAAATTACGCATAAAGTACATAACAAAGAGTTTTGAGGATGATGGACCATAAATAAAAATTAATTTCGTAAAGCAAAATCTACGAAATGATATTCTAAAATAAAAATAAATGCGTCATAGTTTCCGCCGATCGCCAAAATATATTGTTATTTTTCTTTTATTTCGGTTATTTTTATAAATATTTATTTAGATTATATTTTATTCTATTTATTTAGATGCCGCCAAAAGTATCTGTTTTTTATACATACATGTAGGAGGCTTACCTATTGAAAAAAACGCTCAATTGTTATAGTTAGTTTATGTCACTACTCACTAGGTAGCAGATTAATATAAAAAAGAGCGCTAATTTTGAAATAATGAAAAAGTAAGTGATATCTATTGCAGAGGAAATTATGTTTTTTTGTATATCGGCGGGTGTACAACGAACGACGTATGTTCTAATTAACATTGTTATTTCAATAATGCGTAAAACGGAATCATCAAATTGGATTTGAAATTTTTAAAACAACATTGTTGTCTATTGCATTTTTAATTGACATATTTAATTGTCCATCATTATTTTTGTTATAATTAAGCTCTGATATTGAGTCGATTATCCTGACTTGTTGATGGATGAAAAATCATAGTGTGATATACTTTATTTAAAGAGAGTAATATATCACAGAAAATATGATATCTACGAAACAGTGTAAATAGCAAATACGTAAGTATTTCCATGTTTATAAAGTTTAAAAGACTCCTTCATTCTAGGAATTATAACATATATGTTTAATTATTTTTACGTACATATTAGATTAAAATTATATTAAATATATACCTACTTTTTTTTTTTTATAAAAGGGTGTTTTGTAATCAATTTTGCAGTAACTCACCAGCTGAATTTTATTTGTAACATGATTAGATTTTTTCGTCATGTCTAATTGAAAAGCACTAACAAGTACCACGTCGCAATAATAACTAAAATGATTCACTGAGCGTTGATCATTACATGCCTCGCAATATAATACGCTGTTGTCAGCGTATTATATTGCGAGGTTTTGAGTGGAAGTTACACTTTAAGAAGGACTTTCCTGTAGAGATGAAACGAACAAATTTAATCAATTAAATTCTGATGAGAAAGATAAAATTATGTGTAAAAATAAATAGTATTTATATTAAAATATTCTCACTAATTTTTTTAACGGCACTATTTTTCATTACTTTCATACATAGGTACGACCGCATCTGGCCTATTTTTTTTTTATAAGATAGGGGGGCAAACGAGCTTGCGGGACGACCAAAAAGGGCAGTCTTCGCAGCCCATAGACACCCATTTTTAGTGGGTGCGTTGCCGGCCTTTGAGGGAGGAGTAGGTACGCTCGATTTTTAAACATTTGGAGGTCGTATCTCTGAGGGAAGACCCCCTCCGGGAGTCGATTCCACAGTTCGCTAGTTCGCAAAAGAAAATGCCTTGTAAATGGACCGTGGAAGACCTCCAACCATCAAGATGATGTTGGTGAAATTTAGAGTTCGTACGGCTCGTACGGTGTTGAAAAGAGGCTGCAGGGATCAACCCAAACAATTCTTCCGAACACTCTCCGTAGTATACTTTGTAGAAAACGCAAAGGGTCGCAATGTCTCTGCGTAGAGAAAGAGAATCAAGCCGTTGTAATTCATTGGCATCAGTAAGACATTGGAGATTGACAATTCGACAAGCCCTTCGCTGAATTTGGTCGAAAGGAAGAAGCTGGTATTTGGGAGCACCGGCCCAGAGATGTGAGCAGTATTCCATATCAGGTCGTACTTGAGCTTTGTAGAGCTGCATACGTTG